ATTCTGAGTACTACTCAGTACCCGTACTCACTTATACCTCTAGATTCCGAGTACTTTGTGAGTCTTCGGTGGGTACTCGATGAGTACTTTCGATCAGTACTCACCGAGTACCATGAGTACTGAATAGGTACTTTGTGAGTACTCGGTGGGTACTTTCTCACCGCGAAACAGCAAAAAGATCACTATTTTCTCACTTTGGGCCCAATTGCAAAGATAAATTCTCTAAGTAATTGGTATATGAGTACTCAGTGAGTATACCGTAGTATCCAAAAAATACCTGGACTCACATAGTACCTGTACCCACTTGACCTCAGAAATTCTGAGTACTACCTAGTACCCGTACTCAATCACTTCCAGGATTCTGAGTACTACTCAGTACCCGTACTCACATGCTAAAACAGTGTGAGTACCACACCCTGATATGTATGTACAGCCTCCTGTACATATGAACAGGCAGGCCGTCCATTTCCTGTGCAATTGAACAGGCGTCGCCATCCTGTTCGATTGCACAGGCCGTCCATTTCCTGTGCAATTGAACAGGCGTCGCTATCCTGTTCGATTGCACAGGAAATTGGACGTTTTTGAATTCAGGCCAAAAAAATGGCTGGCCTTGCTCTCAATCTGCGGGCATCCTCCCTGTTCATATGCACAGGCTGTATGTAGTGCTCTCTACCCCCTGTCGTACCAGTACTAGCTACTAGTACTCTGAGTAGGCTCTGAGTTGTTCAAGCGTCCAAGCCACCGGCGGTGGGTAGCTAGACTAGTACCTGTGGCTGGACTTTCGCAGTACCAACTGATACCTGTGCCCTGTGCCACCAACTTGCTGTTCTAGCTGGAGTCTGAATGAGAACTACTGTACATGACATTGTACTATCGTAGCTACAAGCTACTAGGCTACCTGCTAGAGTGGCTACAGTACCGAAAGGGCCCGAAATCGCCATTTACAAGTAATTCTGCTTGATATTTGGGTTTCGATTTTATATTTTGGTTTCGATTTTATATTTAGATGTTGATTCTATATTTAGGTTTCGGCTTGATTTTACTAGTTATTTACCATAGTAATTTGTTTTCGGTTTTATTTTTAGGTTTCAGTTTCATATTTAGGTTTGTAATTGATCAATTTAATTGGATTCTTAAAATCCTGATTCGGGCCGTTTCACCTGGCCACTTTCGCAGTACGTGTAGCAACTGATAGCGAACCACTAGCTAGCCAAGGCCACCACAGGAAGACTTAGTGATGACACTGATGAAAGCTTTGGCAATGCCACGCAAGCAAGAACGAGCTCAAGAACGACAGATCCAACAGCCCTGTTCGGAGAAACCTTCTTCAAGTGTACTGCTTTCACATACGATCACCAGTGAGTCTACAAGAACATATCCACTGAGCTTCCCACTGACGAGTGGGCGTTGTGAGTACGAAGCAGGGTTTAAAGAGCTGTTTTAGTGTTCGTTGGTGGTTCACTTCCAGTCGCAACTCCATACCGGTATACGTGGCACGCCAAGCCAATGCCGCCACTGAATCTAACACAGTGACTTCTCCGGGTCACACCGTCTTGGGTCCAGCTCGGTTTTGCTCGGTGAAATAGTTGGAGCCCTGCCTCATGAATAGTCTACTGGTAGACTAGTATCCCATCACAAAACTACTTTTCAGGAGTTGCAAACTCCACACAAAAGCTACCAGTAGTTGTTTATACTCATACACAACAGTCAGTTTGATCATCATGGCTCCTCATGCTCCAGCAGAGAAGGAAAGTTGGAAGGTGTTTGTGCAAGTTTGTGGTCTCTCTAGATCAGACTGCCATACCCTGTGGGGCAAAGAGTTGGAGTACAGCACCATGGAGAGACTGAGCTTGTTTGGGCTTCACGAAGATATTCAGGTCCTGTTGGATGCTGGCTTTAGCCATGCCAAGGCACACATGATCCTTCTGTTTGCTACCTACTTGCTACACAACACTAATAAAAAAACCAGTGAAGAAGAGGCCGTGACTGTGCCATCAGATCTTACCTTTCATGACATTCTCCAGTTCAACATAAAGCTCAAGCAACCACAACCACAACAACAACAACAACAGCAGGTTCCAATGATGATGCAACCAGTCCCAATGATGATGATGCCAATGCAACCACAAATGTTCATGCAGCCTCAGCCACAGTCATACGTCCAACCGCAGCCACAGCCTTACATGCAGCCTCAGCCACCACAAGCGGTCCAACAACCAGCAGTGGAACAACCTCAGGCGCCATCCCAGCAACCACCACAGGTCTTACAGCCTCACCCACAGCAACCACCACAGGTAGTGCAGACTCGGTCACAACCGGAGCAGCAAATGGTGCAACCACCGACACCAGTTCAACCGGCTCCCGCAGAAGATCCCCAAAGTCCAGTCGCCGCTGGCAAGAGCACATCAGCTTTCAGCTCTCATCTCGAAATCAATCGCCCGGTCTTTGTACGACAGGGTACGGGCGGCAGCACTGGCAGTCTAGGTAGCAAGCACAGCATGAGCTTGAAGAGCTTGGCATCTGATAATGCCAGCCGTGGAAGCATGCACAGCCTGAAGAACGGAAGCATGAACAGTCTCAAGAGCTTGGGGTCGGAGAGTGCCAGCCGGGGAAGCGTATCCAGGAGGAATGCGAGATGGTCATCCAAGGCCCCACAAGGCCCTAAAGCAACATCCTTCAACAGTTCAACGACCAAGACGACCAAGAGTACTACCGGCACTGGGGACTTCAATGACAGTGCGAGCGATTTCTCCGTCATGAGCAGAAATTCGAGGAATAGTATCAAGAGCTTCAACTCCAAGGCCCGCAAGTTCAACCGACGCATTGCCAATCGTAAAAAGAAGAAGGAGCCGCAGCTGCAAAGGTCCAATAGCAACGACAGCAACAAGTCATTCAAGTCAGCCAAGTCCACAATGATGGATACGAGCGCCACAAACATGTCTGTCAAGACTGCCCAAACTGCCGCCACCAGCATGTCATCATCTCGTTGGGCCGCGGATGCGACTCCAGGAATGCCCGTCCCCACCACTGCCGTCGTTCAACAACAACAGGATTTGGATGACTTCAGTGATGCATCTGACTATTCTGAAACCGAAAGAGAACAACCACAAGAGCCCTTTACGGCCCCACCGCCCGCTTTTGAACGAGAAGACTCGGGCTGTACCGTTAACACGCGCAAAACAACCAGCGAGACCAACTGTTATCCGCCGTACCGCCGTTGCTCCATTGGCATGAACAACAAGCCTCACCAACACGAGGAACCAGAAGAAGAAGAAGAGCAACATTTCCACGACTGTCGCAACCTCAAGTGCGACAGCATCCCCTGCCCCCCACCACGATCTGCTACTTCGAGATCTTGTCTACGATGGGCCAAGGCATTGGATGTCAATGAGGACTTGACCGATTCCGAGCATGAAGACGAAGATGATGATGACGAATACGACAGCGATGACGAAACTGAATCATCTGATGAAGAAGACAGTGACGATGACGAAGAGGATAGTGACAGCGATAGCGACGAGGATGACAGCAGCGACGAGTCCGAAAGCGATTCGAGCGACTATGATGCACTGATGGAAAACGACGAGTTTGCCGCCGTCATTCAACGCGCTGAAGCAATGGCAAATGCCCAGCGCCCCCCTCGTCCGCAACACTATCCTGCTGCAAACAAGGACCATCACGAAGAAAAAGCCGTCACCCACAAAGCGGGAAACAATGTTTGTCAGAAGCAGACTAGGAAAGGGAACAGAGCCAAGAAGAGCGAATCAAGCAGCGATGGTGGCAATATCCTGAGCTTCAAGACACACAATGTCACAACACATGAGTGGGTGTTGCCTGCAAATAAAGTTCTACCAATTTCCTTACAAGATCTCATCAGAGAGGCGTCGGGAAATCCAGAAGTGGATATTCAACAAAGGATTCAACAGGCTCTAATGGGGCAATAAAGAAAGCATTCTTTTTAGCAGTTTTAAAATGTAAAAGTTGGATTACAGAGTGTACATTAGCGATAGGAAGTATAGTACTCATAAGTGCAAGTAGTAGCGATCGAATCGTACAAGGGCATGCCCATGTATGTGAAGTGAGCACTGGGTTGGGTTGTCCAAAGCTTTTATTAGTTACCGGATTGGAAGCAAACCGCCTCAGAGCCAGTATTTGCCAGCTGCATGATCAGAAGACAGGGATGGCTTCATCTAGTGCCTCTTGCTTTGTCTCCAGGAGGAGTGGGATCGAGATCTCGGTCGGCAGAGCAAACCAACAAGGGTACTCAGCCCTCATGCGTGAAATCTTAGCCGCCGCACCCCAATCCTGGAACAGTTTCATCGCCTCGTTGATGTAGTACTTTCCTTCAGCTTCGTCCCCCATTTCGTCCAAGTAAAACTTTCCCATTCGCTCGGTGCAGACGGCTTGATCATGCGTAAAGCCTCCACGCCCAGCTAGAGCAATCGCGGTTTGGTAGTGGACCATAGCAAGGCTCTTCTTCCCTTTGTAGGCGGCGTCCTCTGCATCCAGCAGTGGGCCGTAATGCATGATGTTGGGATTGCCCTTCACAATCCATTGCTTTATTTTCTTCGCCATCTTGCGAGCATGTTTCAGGTACTTGCGCTTACGCGTTTGGCGGGCCATGGCATAGCACGAAATAGCTTGTGTCCAACGACCAGTGATTTCGGTGGACGATGATGGTGACTGAGATACAATGTCTTCGCCGACTCTCAACGCCAAGTCTGCGGCCTTCTCGTATTCACCCAGGTAGCAGCATGACCAGATTACAACGCCATCAATCAGGCCCAAAAAGTGTTCGTTTGAGGTTTCCTTGCACTTCTGCCTCATGGCCGCTTCGTCGCATGCTTCGCCAGTCAAGACGGTCGCGTCCTCGCTGCGGCCCAGCAAGTTCTTTGGAGGGTGAGGTATGGGACGAATGAAAGTGAGAAAGGCAGCCAACGGGCACGATACTCTGCGGGTGATTTTGTCACACATACCAGCATCGACTGATGCTCAATGGCTGTCTCAACGAGGATCGTGTCGTTCTTGTAGTCACTCATTTGCTTTGAATATATGCGATAGTTTTCTTCCATGGTCTCCAGGTTCAAGCCAACCTGCTGGCCGAATTGAAGGTAGACGTAGATGGACCACAGCGCATTCTCCTGATCATTGAAAGAGGAATCAGATTGGTAAGCCGTTGTTGGACTGGGCGAAGATCAAGCAAGCTACTATCAGCTCCAGATTCTGATTCGTCTTACCGTGTCACCGCATCGCATGCCATTTTCGTAGGCTTGGACCAAATCTTTCAAAAATGGTTGGATTGGGCGAGTCCAATGGAGGACAAAGCCATATACCAAGAACGAAACACGTGATTCGATTTCGCGACGGTTTGGCAGAGAGTCCAGCATGCTAAGGCTATGTTTTCCGTAAATGCTGCCAGCACCAAGGTCATTCACAGAACACAAGATGAAACCAACGGTGGCCAGAACGTTGGGGGAGTAGTCGCAAACTCCATGTTTCTTGGTCAGCCGTAGACCTTTTAAAATGACTATGAGAAACCGCGATGGTGAGCTCGAAGTCTGCAACGGCAAGGAGGGCAACAACGAATGAAAGATTCTTACCCAGCGGTAGCAAAGGGCTGTTGTTTGTGTAGCAATACACCTTGAGCTGATCCAGGAAGTACATGGTCCAGATGTGATACTTGTTTTTCATCTCGGGCAAAGCGGCGATTTTCTCGGGAGTCTCCTTCCGCACCGACGCCTTGACCTTGGTCACCCCGACAATTGTGTGCAAGAGAAGTCGTCGCCGGGGCAGCTTACATCCCAGCTGTTGCAAAACATCCAGGCACAGTTCAATGGCATCTCCGCCGTTGGCCCTGGCGGCGACAGATTCCAGCATGACCTTGTACGTGCTCAGTTTGTCCAAGAGTGGTCGATCCTTCTGACTGAGAACCTCCTCGCAGTACCGATCAAGCCGTTCAGTATTTCCCAATACAAATTCTGTCTGAGCAGCGGAGGAGAAGAGCTCGAGCGAATGTTCGTAGTGGTCTCGCCAATAGTTCTCTTTGGGCAGAAGCTCGATGGCTGTGCGAAAATAGGAGTTTGCCGATTCAAAGGCCGACGAGACCATGGATTTTTTGCCGGCCCTTCGGTTCAGCTCAGATATCTTTATTCTCCATGAGTCACCCTCGGGAAGCGAGGATGCTCCTTCGTTGAGAAGGTTGACACAAATGAAGAGCATACTCTCCAAAGTGGCAGAGTCCGTGTCAGTAGCCACGATCTTGCCAATTGAAAAGAGTACCTCCGATATGGAATCCGTAGGAATCAGAGAAAACGCTGCAGCTTCCAGCTGATCATGTTTCCACCTGTACGATGTGGAACCAAATTCCTCAAGAAAGCCTTCGTCGACGCATGTGTCTAGTTCACCCCAATCCAATTCATTGCCTTCGCAGCTTCCGTCGTCTCCTCCGCCAAGGAGCTTTGACCGGTCAACCTTGGACAAGACCATCTGAAGTGTATTTTCGTCAAACGTAGAACCAAGACATGCCGCAATCTGTAAGATTTGCAAGGTGCCATCTTCTAGACTTTCAAGTTTGGCCTTGGTCAGTCCGACAATGTTGTCTGTGATTTTGATCTTGGCTTCAATTTCCGGGAGGTTCCAGATCCATTTCATGAGCCCAAAGTTGTAGTCTAACAATCCTTGGGACTGAAGCCCGGTCATGAGCTGGACCACCCAAAACGGATTACCCTGTGTGTTTCGGTGCACCACTTCTGCCAGTGGAGCCACAGTTTGTGGTTCATCAAGGGACAACAAGTCACAAACCATCTGATTCACGTGTTTCACGGAAAGATTGTCGAGAGCAATGCGGGTCATTGGGATCCCCTGGTGCGGATTGGTTTGGTTCGCCACTGCGGTTTCGGGAAGCTCTTTTGGGCTTTCATTGTCAGTTTTGTTTTCTAATACACCCAATAGTTTGGATAGCGGATGTTGTGGGCTGGAGCTCACTTCATTGCTGCGATAGACGCCCACAATCAACAGTGGGATGTTCTCTTTGCCAATGGCAGATTGAGTCAGAAATGCATGGAGTAAGCTGATGCTCGCTTGGTCTGCCCATTGCATGTCATCAATCACCATGACGATGGGGCCCCTTTCAGCCACTACACTGATGAATGAGCCAAAGGCAAACTGTAACCGTTTGAGCTGATCTGCCATTTTCCCATCTTGTATGGGTTCGTCTTCTGATTCATCCATGGTGGCCGTGTCTGTGGTATCTTCCAATGGTTCTTTGCCAAGTGTCTCCCAATCGAAGTCTTTCCCCAGAGACCTGCTGCTGCTGTAGTGCGATCCGAGATCCCGATCACTACTACTAATGTCGTCGTCATCGTCATCACCGATGCTATTGACAATGAGTTCAATGTTGGGAATAATGGTTTTGAGGACATGAACGTCATTGGCCAATTTTTCCCGTAGACGAGATTTCATGGCTTTCTTGGCTTGACGTTGTCGTTGATGTTCACCCACAATCAGCCACTGATGAATCAGCGTACAAAGTTGCTGACAAGCCATGGTGATTGCAGCATAGGGTGTCTGAAGGTCCTCTTGGTGTTTCTGTTCAAACTTGCCGCTGACAAAGAGTCCACCAGCCTTGTCCACACGATGTTCCAGGGCTTCCCGGACCAACCGAGACTTGCCAAGTCCCGAGTATCCCTCGACCAAACACAACTCTCGCACCCCTTTGGAATGTGTCCGGTCAAACAACTCTTGCAAGGCGGCCACTGGTTCCTCTCGACCATGCATACCCAACGACCAGGTCCTTAGCTTATTCAAACTCATCTGAGAAAGATTCTCGCAACTTTGACGAGTCTTTGAAGACCGCGGCTTGAAGCTTCGAGTACTAACACTTAGCGAATGACGACGTCTTGACATCCACGAAGAAATGGAAGAATCCAAACTGCAGCTGCTATTGGCATCCGTCTGTTTCATGGTTTGGTGACTACTACTGAGCGTCATCATGGTCTTTCTACTGAAACGAAATTTTTTCCTTCTCGGGCACCTCCAGGGATGGTACAACAAAACTGAATCAGAATCTGAAAGATATGGCTCTGAGCAGGGCAGGTATTTATGGAATGAAGCAAAGAAGTTGCAAAGCAAGGTTGAGGTAGCTACGGGCCGCTCAAAAAGATACTGTTTGAGAAAGCAGGATCTGGAAATGATGTTGTTGTGGCTATGCACTGTGCACTGTGCAGCATTATTTGATCACCTTGTTAAATCTGCTGTTGTCTCTATGTTTGGAAAGATTCATCTCTGTAAATAGATCGATCAGGAAAATGCAAGATTACTACTCCACATTACCCTTGTATGATTTAACTGAGAGCAGTCTTTTCAACGAAAATGAACGATTAAAAAAGAAGGGCTTCGTCCAAGGAGAAGAGACAGTAAATGATGGCCTGTGACGACGTGACGACGTGACAGTCCGTCTAGAGCAATCGTGCTCTCTCCGTACCGTGGCATCCTGAACAGTACTAAGCAAAGTACTATGATAGGACGGACTACGGACCTTCGGTAGTACGCACATGTAGGATTGTACGGGTACCGTTATCAGCATCAGTAGTACAGTGAACGATTACTGCTGAGCACGGTACCGGTACAGAGTACAGAGCAAGGAAAGTCAAAGCAAAATGTACAAGCAAATCCAACATCCGGACTCAATCGGTCGTAGCAACCCTGGACCCAACCTTGGACCAACTAAGTGGTACATGGCCAGGGCAGGGCTTCTCTTGGAGCGACCAACCCTTTGATGAACTCGAAGACCACCCCCAAACTCCTTCCCCAACCCAGGAACAACCCCAGCCCCCCACCCCAGAAAACTCCAGGCCCCACTCCAGGACCAACTCCCTGACCATCTCCTGGGCCTGCCCTTGGAAGAATCCAGGCTCCACTCCCAGATAAAAAAAGAGAAGAGATTCGTGCGCTTTCCTCCCGGCTAGTACGTGTTGATTTGGACAATCCAAAGGGAAAAGCTCATCGTAAAGCAGTAATTTATTAGGATGCATACGGTATTAATAGCTACAAACTGAGTATCACAACTTTGGGGTGGCTACCGTAGATCTAGAGTCAAGATGAAGAAGCCAAAAGGAATATGAGTAGATTGAAACTATATGGGGTTCAGAAACGACATTGTCTTCCAGTCGGTGCCAAACTAGGAATGAAGCACTGTGCAACTGTATACGGATTGACAAAGAATTCAATCAAGAAGGCTTGTGGAATGCTAGTACTCCGAGTATCGTCAGAAAGATGAAATAAAGACGAAACAGAAGTACACTCGGCAAAAGACTCCATTGCATGAGTAAAGATTCTGCCAGTTCCAGCTACAGTAGCTACAACGAACAAGCTAGATAATACCAAGTGAATGCTCCAGTTGTTCCTTCCAGAAGATCACAGGCTTCTGGCTACTAACACAAATACAAGTACAAGCTGGTACTGGTAGTGACATTCGAGGAACGGAGTACAAGAGATTTCGCGGGATGCCCGTTACTGTAGTGGTTGTACATCTATCATCTACGAACTTGTGCCTTGCCGCCCTTGGGTATATCTTGAATGTCCTGCCTCCTTTCGTTCCGCATCTATTCAACTCTTTTTTTTTCACTGCTAGTTTTACCCGTTACACTTATTTCGGTTGCTGCTGTTGCTGCTGCATGGCTTGGTGCTCTTGGAACCTGAGGCCAACTCTCTGGGCCATCTTGATGTAGCGAGACGCGCAGTTCTCCATGCACGAAGTCTCGTACTTCTCCAGTGTCTTGGAGCGAAAGGAATACGAACACGCTTCGAAGCATCGCTCCACCAGATTGTTGTACATTCTACCGGTATCAGTTCAGGTCAGTTCAGATCGAGAAAAAGAAATGGTGAGTTGACGCACATGACGGCAAGGTGGCAGGATCTGGATGTAGACTACTGTACGTACGTGAGACTGTCTGTCATCTGCGCCTGCTCCAGCTTTTGCATGAACTGCTGTTGCTGATGCGGCGGTAGATTCTGTACATTCTCCATTGCTGCAAAACGGTATCTAAGGAAAGAATAGGATGAAGCTTTCGTAAGTTGATTTGTCTGTCGTTTGCGCTGCAGATGTATGTGTGGAAGTGCCACAGCCGTTCATTGCTTTTGTTCTGTTGCTGCTTTGGCTGCAATTTACAAGCCAGCAGAGTCAGAAGCTCCTGCTGCGTCTTGGTTTAGACCGGGGTATGCATGTTGTGACAATGTTGGCTAGCTACTATTAATAGTCGAGTCAGAGTTGAACCAGGAGTGTGGCCTGGAATAGCCAGTGGTAGGCACCATAGTTGCTCTGGGAGTGGGACAGATGTATGTTTTCTTGGAATTCGACCACGAGTGGTACCTGGAGTTATGCATATTACTGGAGTTTGACCTGGGATAGATGTGGCGGTGGGTCCTATTTATAGTGGCGCCTGTTGGTCTTATTCTCCTCGGAGTGAATGCATTGCAATATTCTTGTCAACGCCAACAGCTTTCGATGACTTAGCTTCAAATGTCACTAAAATAGACCAGCAAAAATCTCCATCCTAGAGTTGTTCAAGGAGGAGCTCGCTCGTTGGGAGATG